ACACACACACACACACACACACACACACACACACACACGACATGTCATTTCCATTGTGATCGCCCCCTGGTGTCTCGCTGCAGTACACATCGCCTCCTCCTCCCGTAACTAAAAAATCAAAGTCAAGTTGCTACTCACTGAGGCCAGCCTTCGAATGTGGACACGGTGAATAAAGCCAGCATGCCCATCAGCACGTTGTCAAAGTTGAACTCGCTGTTTTCCCAAATCCTCTCTCTCACCATGGGGTGGTTCATGTCCCCGTCTTTATAGACAACAAACGTTCCCCTTAAAAAAGACAGACACGTGTTTGATGCCGCACAGGATGTTACAGGTTCTTTATATTCTGCAGAGAAATGACACCAGGAAACTGACTTGCACTCGTCTGGAGTGTGTTTGGCTTCATCTGTGCAGCTGTAGAATCTGCCCTGTAACATGAAACACAGAGACGGTAAAACCCCCAATAGCCACTTACTTCCACTTTACCTCCACCGAGGACATTGTGTTTTCACCCCTTTCCTTTTGTTTTCCCGCTCAGCAGGATTACACAAGAATCATTGAACGGCTTTTCAATTTAGAAAACAATTTTGGTGCAAATCCAGAAATCAATGGTTGAGATCTTGACCACGTACCTTGAAGAGCTGCACTCCGATACATGCAAACATGAACTGAAGCAGGGTCGTGACAATCAAGATGTTACCGATGGTGCGGATCGCCACAAACACACACTGCACCACATTCTGAGAACATAGCAACAACACAGCCCATGTGTTAGCGTCAAACAACAACACTTCATATACACTCAACAAAAAACGTCCGAAGCGTCCAAAAAAAGGCAATACGTGATTTTACTATCATGAAAAAAGACGTGAAAATAATTTACCTTTAGCCCCTTGGCTCTGTTGATGGCTCGAAGAGGCCTGAGCACACGCAACACTCGAAGAATCTTCACCACAGAGATCGCGCTTGAACTGAGAGCAACAAGGATTTAAAGCATTTTAAAGAAATCAGTGACTCTGACTGATGTCTGTTGTTTGAGTTCCCCAGGCGTCTACTCACTGCAGAAAGAAGGACATGAGGGACACGCTGACGACCAGTAGGTCCAGGAGATTGAAGGCATTTCTACAGAACGACCCGCTGTGCAGAAAAGCTCCGTAGACCGTCATCTACACACGAGCGAGGAAGAGGAGAAATGTTTACACACTCTCAAAATGCGCACGTTTAATTTTTTTATGTCATTCTGTTTATTTCAGCCACTGTGTCCGTTACCTTCAGGACGATCTCCACTGTGAAAACTGATGTGAACACATAATCGGCATAACCGAGCACCTGAGGAAAAGAGAAACCAGTGTGAGCTTTGAAGATTTTTTGCATGAAAAATGCCTGTGAGGCTCTGATGTGTTCTTACTATGTTTCTGAATGAGTGGGATTTGATTGGATCCTCAGCAGCCAGGGAAATACTGCTGAAGATGATGAAGATGAGGATGAAGTTGGTGAAGTAGGGATGATGGATGAGGTTGTGGCAGGCGACTCGCAAACTGAGGATTGGAAGGAAATTAGGAAAGTGGAGCGTTACTTTGTGTTTTTACAGTTAAAAGGTTTTATAGAGTTCAGTAGAGTTGAGTTCATCGCGAACAAACACATATTCTCAGATTACCAGTTTTTCTTCCCAAGGATGAAGAAGGAGCTCCCGTCAGGAATTGGTACGATCTTCTCTTTAGGCCCTGAGAACTCTGCCTTTAGAGGAGCAACGCCTACGATGAAATAAGGAGCAAAGGTATGAGACAGTTTCCATGTTAATCTGCACATCAAGCGTTTGTCCTGCAGAGAGACGTCCGTCCCACTCACCCTCCAGTCCCTCGATGGCTCTCAGCTCCTCGTTCTCCTGCCAGTCGTCCTCCTCATTCTACAAACACAATATCAAATACTTTAACCTTGGTGTCTTATCTTTTAGAAACTGAGTAAAAATATGGAAACAATATCTACCCCTGCATCTTCATCTTCTTTCTCTTCATCATCATCCCACTCTTCTTCATCTTCCTTTTTCTCCCTGAAAAAACAAAGTCAGCTGAGTGAAAACCACATTTTTTAATGCAATGAATAAACTAATCAATGTAAAAGTAGCAGGAAATAAAAGGACGAGTCAGTTATGAATGTGTCGCTATATCATTGTGTCAAACTTACTCCACGTTTTTCTTTCCTCCACCTCCAGCCAAGTTGTCCACAGCGATAGCCAAGAAGACATTCAGCAGGATGTCTGACCACAAAATGAAGGAATCACATTTGCTCCAGTGGGAATAAAGAGACTGAATTTAACCTTCAGTTGGACCAGAGATCTATTTACAATCATTATTGATCTGTTGACGGCCTTTTGGAAAAGGATACAGTTACCACAGACAAAGAGGATGACAAAGTACATGCACACCACCATGTTGGGGAAGATAGGACCACCGTAGGCCATGATGCCGTCGTACATCACAGCATTCCAGTCCTCTCCTGTGAGTATCTGCACAGACCATCAGAGACACAAGCTGCCATTCATACCACAGTGCATAGATTTGCTGAAAAATAAAAGCGAGAGGCTGTGGGGGTGTAAATCACCTGGAAACAAGTGAGCAGAGCCTGAGGGAAGGAGTCGAATGTACTTCTCTTCATCTGCATCTCGTCAAAGTTGAATTTGCCTCCGAACAGCTGCATGCCGAGCAGAGCGAAGATGATGAGGAAGAGGAAGAGCAGCAGGAGAAGGGAGCAGATAGCTTTCATGGAGTTGAGCAGTGAGTTGACGAGGTCAGACAGAGCAGCCCAGTGCCTGCAAACAACAGGAGAGCAGGGATACACTTCAGGAACGGGTCAAAGATGGCAGTTGTCCCCGTGGAGCTCCGTGTTTCAGTTACCGTGTCATCTTAAATATCCTGAGCAGACGGATGCAGCGCAGCACAGAGATGCCGATGGGTGGGATAGCCTCGAACTCGACGAGCAGCGTCTCCAGGATGCCGCCGCACACCACGAAGCAATCGAAGCGGTTGAACAGCGCCATGAAATAGATCTGCAGGCCGAAGGCGTACATCTTCATCAACATCTCCAGAGTGAAGAGCAGCAGCAGGATCTTGTTGGCTCGCTCTGTGGAGCAAAGAGAGAGGAAGAGGTGGAGCTGCGTTTAGATATTTCACCAGAATGAAGGTAAACAGAGGTTCTGAGGCGAGGATGATACTACCTTGCATTTCCGTGAGCCACTTCGGTTGTCCGTAATGCTCGGAGGCACTGGCCACTGTGTTGAGAAACACCAGCAGGAGCACCAGCCAGTAGAAGTTTGTGGTCTTAACAGCCACTCGGCAATTCTTCCTCATGGTGTGATTCAGCTGGCACAACTGGTCACTAAGGGAAGAGCGGACATCAGAATGATTTTGGGGTCGATGCTGATCGTGATATTAAGGAGTTAAACATTTCTCATACATAAACTGTGTGTCAGCCTATAAACAGTAAAACTTGGATTAAGAAAATAAATAAAATTTTACGTAAAATATGAACATAAACACACATCTTTTCTGCATCGTTTATTCTGTGAAATAAAAGTTTTTATAACAGCTCATATTGTCTGTTTCTATTAGCTGACCATGGACACACAATCTATTCATAAAGTAGTGGTACAACTTGATTCATGTTTTTTAGAAATGTAAAGAAAGTTCTGTGACTTTGGCTAAACAAACATCATTGCATTATATTACATCATATAACGCCTACATACCATATTAACTCCATTTGTACGACTCATTTAAAATAAAATCAATAAAACTAAATGTTAGAAATCAAACAAACTGTGTATTTTATTATTACAGGAGCTCAAAGAACGTCACTGGAGGCTCGTGCTCTCCATCACATAAATATTTCACACAGTGTGTAATGTTGAGAGTCTCACCAGAAGCTGTTGGCCATCATCTTCGCCCTGAGAAAACAAGACGAGGAGGAAAAGAGAGATTAATTAACAGCCTCCTCTTGTGAGTCAAAACACAGTCAACTGATATTTCTCTGTTTCCTCACATGAGAGAAGCACAGAAGCCGCTGTCATCGTCGAGGTACGCGATATCATCATCAGAGTCGGACTCTGTGGACCACAGAGATTTGCTGTTGGAGACTTTGATCATATAAAATCAACACGATAACAAACAGTGGCAGCTGACGTACCTCCACCGTCCTCACTGTGTTTGTACCAGCCAAACTTCTTCATCATCTTTTTCTTTGCGATGGCAGCACCTTCAAAGACAAATAGAGATTGTTCAGATGTGAGGAAACGTGGATTAAATGTGTTTGTGTGAATGTGCATTAAACTGACGTTTGTTTCCTTCCTCGTCCACATCCTCGGCCTCTATGAGCCAGTCCATGTAGCCGATCATGTCCTCCTCCAACTGTTTGCTCTCCTGCGCCTTCTGCAGCTCGCCACGCGCCACCGCCTTTTCTCTTTCTTTGGAGAACTCTCTGTGGATATTCACACAGCAACATAAAACACTTGGGGAACTTAGAAAAACAAAAAGAGAAATGTAAGGGATAAAGGTTTGTGTCTGAGAACCAGTGACCACCCACCCGCTCAACACACCCAACACAAGATTGATGATGAAAAAGGATCCAAAGATGACGAGAGAAACAAAATAGATCCATGGAATCTCAAAACCAATGGCGTCATTCATCTGTGCAGAGACAAAGTGTTGTTAAACAATTAATATTTAGAGTGAGAAATAAACTGTGGGGGACGTAGCAACACATCTGTGTACCCAGTAGAGCACATCTGTCCAGCCCTCCATAGTGATGCACTGGAAAACTGTCAGAATGGCAAAGAAGATATTGTCGAAGTTTGTGATCCCGCCGTTGGGACCCTCCCACTTGCCCCTGCACTCGGTCCCATTGGTGACACAAAAGCGTCCGCTCCCAGCGAACGCACAGGGTGACGGGTCGTCCTCCAACATGAGGCCTGGAGCACAGAAGGAAAACCAGGAAGTGAGTTTACACACCCATTAAGATTATTAGATGGTGAATTATTCCCTCTGCCAAGGACGTTTATGTTTTCACCCCAAGTTTTATGGTTTATTGGTTTTGTTTTTGTTTCGAGAGCAGAGACCTGAGCCGATGGAGTAACACGTCTTGTGCATCCGGCCGATGAAGAGCTCCAAGCCGATGATGGCGTAGATGATGATGACGAACATGACCAACATACCGATGTGGAGAAGGGGGACCATGGCTTTCATGATGGAGTTCAACACAATCTGTAAACCTGATGAGACAAACACACTCAATAGTCTGTGTGGGATGAAGCATAGAAACACAATCAACAAACAAATATTAGACGCACTTGGCACTCCTGACACGAGTCGGAGCGGTCGCAACACCCTGAACGCTCTGAGCGCTTTCACATCCAGGCCTCCAGGTTTTCCTGCAGCGTGATGGGCCTCTCCTGGCTTATGATCCGTCATGGCCTCTGCTATCACACTGAACAACCTGCACAGGCGCAGACAACAGGCGCTGCACTTTACTTTTTCATTAATGACAGAATATTTGGGGAATCGTGACTCAGTGAAGCACCAAAATACCCGACAACGACGATAACGAAATCAAGCAAGTTCCATCCGCTGCGTATGTAGGCGCTGGGGTGCATGACTAAGCCGTAGGCAAGAATTTTAGTGAAGGTCTCGATGGTGAAGATGACGAGGAAGACGTACTCCACTTGTTCCTGAAAAGAGAAGAGACGGTGACGTTGGACTGCTTATGCAAAAATTGGAGTGACCTTTTTTTAAATGTTAGTGTCTGACAGAAATAAATATTAGAGACTTATTGTCACAGTAAAATAAAGAGTTAGAAAATGTTTCATTCATTCTCAATCCATTCTGTCTTGTTCACGCTTCTTCCTTCACTTCCTGTGTTATTATCATTAAGGGCTGATAACAGTGGCTTTGTAACCTCTTAACCCAGTGCCTAACACATGCTTAGGTCTGTCACGGAATCCCCTTCTTCCTCTGTAACCTTGMGCTTAACGCTGCTAATTACCGCTTCCACTGCGACTAGGACTTTACCAGAGGCTGCCGCAATAATCCATGCACGACGTGGTTCAATGTGAGATGACTGGTATTCTCAAAAAACTGTAATGTTCACCCAAACCTGACATTAACTGATGCTAAGTCCCTGCAGGGAAGAGAATCTTAAACTGTCAGATTACCTCCTCTGTGAAATCCAATAAAGGGATCTACTCACATCTATCCTGCTGCAGCTCTGTGTGTGTGTGTGTGTGTGTGTGTGTGTGTGTGTCTGTGTGTGTGTGTCTGTGTGTGTGTGTGTGTCCCTGCTCCAAACAGTTTTTGGGCAATTTCTTTTATTTCTTTATTTCACAGGAAATGCAGATGAGATGTAGCAAAGGGCTCCGACTGGATTCAAACCCAGTCAGCTGCAGGAGCCTTACTACGTGGTGAGCAACCCACCGGGTAAGTTGTCCCAACGTCCCACCCTATTGCCCCCTTTTACTTAAACTACCTCAATTAAAACTAAAATAGAACTTCATCCCTTTGAGTCTCTGCAAACCTGTTCAGATCAGTCCTGAAAGCACAGTGCAATAAAACTGACAACAACTCCACTTTAGTTTGTTCGACTTGTTTCAGTTTGAAGATCATGTGAATTTGAATTGACGGAGAACAATGAGATGAGAAAAGAGAGAGACGGAGAGGGAGGGAAGTGAGACCAGGCAGATGGTTGGTGTTTAAGTAAGTCATGATCCCTGACAAGGTCACCGAGCTAAGGCCACACCGCAACTTTTTCCCTCTAATACCACTACCATCCAACACAACACTATGTGCCTCTCAGCTATTGTTGCTACCTTCAGCAGGGTACCTACGAACCACTGTCCTGTTCATGAACAACCGTCCATTGGCCAGTAAAACAGCCTTTTCCTACTCGCTTGTCATGAATCGCACAGAGGAAGTTCAGGACAGTCAGAGGAGACTCTTCATCGACTAAAATAAGAATTTTCTTCGGGGGAAATCGTGATTGAAATGACTGAGACATTTCTTCAGTGGCCCGATGAAGAAAATGCTTCATAAATCACACATCCTCTAACTGATCTCTTCATCTATGATTCACTGCATATGTCGTATATCAGTGCACGTATGAATGAATAAATAACACAAAGAAATAAATGAAAAGTTGGATGAAGACATTAAACTTTTTTTTTTTAGATCCTTTTTCTCCTTTCTATGTAGGAGGACTTTACATTCATCCAGGTTTTTAACTTTATCATGGTTTTGTGATGGATGCTCTGACTGTGATGATCATTTGTTTGTGTTACATAATTTAAGGCCCTGAGTCCAAACACACCAGTGGAATAAAGAAGATTATTTTCCTTCATATATAACAATCTGGTGAATTCCATGTGAAACCAGTTCATCTAAACTTAAGTTTGATCCTTATCTATTGGTGCACCATGTCCCCACACATAATGTTTTCCAAAAACATGTATCTCTCCATTTGAAACTCACCAGTTGGTGATTGGTGGCGTTGGAGTCGTCATCTGGGTATGGCTTGGTCACGCCCATGGCCACACAGTTGGCAAAAATGGCGAGTAGAATGAAAATATCAAAGGGCTTGAGGTTTGGAGTTAAGGGGATAAAATGCATCTTGACAGGAACAAGCACACAACTGCAGAACATTCTTCCTCCCAACATTAAGTCAGTATATGTTTGTATCACAAGCAGGAACACCCCAACCGTCTGAGACAAAGGATATTTCCACTCCACCAGTGCCAGGGCTGCCATGCGGATGGGGTTGCTGAGGGTGAGGCAGCAGAGGGCTCGGGGGGCTCTGAGGGCAGACTTGTTTGCCTGCATCGCCTTCTTGGCCCCCCCTCCTCTTTTCCTGGCCGAGCCAGTTGACCCGAGGGTGTCCGTTTTGCCTCCATTTTCCCCCGGGGGGGCATCTGTCAAACAAACCAACGTACAGACATGATGTTAATGGATTCTTAATCACAGGTATTACATGATCACTGAGATTAAAATATTCATTCCAAGCTAGAAAAGATATACGACGATGGTAGTTCTAATAGAGAAGTAGGCGTGTCATGTTGTTGGACAGCTTTACTGTCATGTGATTAACATTAAAACTATTCAAACAAGAACACCCTGCACCAGGTCTGGTTGGTGCACAGCCTGCAGGCCCACCTCACACCTTATTTCACTGCCAATATCATCACACATTTCATTCTGCAACTCAGGTGGACACATGGCTGCAGAAACAGACAGGTACTCTGTCCTGAAGGCCTCACAGTATAAGACCAGATGTGACCTACTTCTTTATAGGGAGCGGTGTGGCTCTTAGCCCAGCACTAACGCACAGGGAATAAGCCTGTGGGTGCATGTATTATCTCACCTATGTGAAAACTGCACATGAAGGACTTTGAATATGATGCAAGTTGCGCGTCGATTCTTGTAAAATGCTTTAATTTAACTGAAGCAAAGATTTGCTGTCAAACTTACCTGTAGCTTCATTGTCTATTTGCAATTGCTTGTGATTTCTACATAGCTTTTAAGTGTGATGAACCACAGCCGTTTCTCTACAATGCATATTCCTGCAATGCCATCTTGCAGCCAACACCACAGAGACCATATGCGGAGTCCCTACCTTTCTTTGCCCCCTCCATGTCCGCAGTTTAACACCACGAATTCACGTCAGATATCTGCACCATCAACTCCTCAGGGGATCTGCGATGCGCACTGGATCATAGATATAAAAACCTGCACCCACCCCCACCCCCCAAAATAGAGAAGAAGAAGTTTCCAGGAGTTTAAACCGAAGCAGCCTCATATCCACATGGTGCAGCTCAGTCCGGAGCCTGGAAATCCAATTAGAGCCGCTTTCTGCTGATTTCTCACTGTGCGTAAAATAAAAATAAAAACTGCGATTTCCTCTTGTGTTCTTTTAATCTACGTAGAAATATAAAGGCGAGGAATATTAAAACAAACGCGTCCCCATATCCGCGGTGGTCAGCCGTCAGGATTAGACGCGCTGAGCCGTTTAAAAGGGATGACAGTGGAAATCTTTTAAGGGGAAGGTGGAGAGAGACCTGGGAGAGTCTCCGTGGCCCGCTGCGCTTTTGTTGCAGAGTTCAATAGGTAGAGAACAGAACATTAGGAAGTTCATGTCAGGATGGAAATGATAGATTGAGTTAGAGAAAACACATTTCAGGATTTCTGACAGGAGCAGCAGGGTGCACTACCAGGAAAGAGGAAACCAGGGGGCGCACTTTCACAGCAAATAAGAGATGTGATCGAGCCCGAGTGCATGAACAGGAGATAAAGTGTCAACATGTCCCCTGCACAACTTTAAGCTTTCAAAAGCCAAGACTGTGACAAATAACTTAAATAACAAATCAAAATCTTCAAGAATATGTGATGCCTTTATTGTTAGTATCAACTTCTCCACGATGAATAAATTAACACGATACACAAAATAAAAATTCTCTCTATACATAGTTTGACAGCGAAACATTGGATTGTGCTGCACCGTCTCTCTGTCGAGGCAGATGCTGCCGCTTAAAGAGGGCAGAGAGACGGAGTTTTAAAAAGTGCTTGATTGATAATGCAGCGATCGAAGAGAGGACGGGTGCATGACAAAAAGCAAAGTGAACTGTGCCAGTGACTCGTTTCTAGCAACTCATCCTCATTTATCAGTTGCACATAGACTCACAGAATACAAGGTTGCGTTCTCCCACTTTTCACGAGGCCCTCTCTTCCTATGTAAACAGTTTTTTCAGGTAATTTCATTAATATTTGCAGTTTGTCTAAATTGATTGATTATAAATGTAGTTTGCGGTGTGTGTTGTATTGTTTCTTAGCAATGATGTGGTTAAGTTTCATTTTTAATATGTTTGTGATGTTGCTGTGTTTTGTCGTTGATTCTGGGATTTTGGGTCAGACCAGCAGTTCAACCACACAGAGTGAGAACAGGTTTGCATGATTGGGGCAGGGCAGAGTCAAGGTGCCAGAGGATTAGTGAATTGTGCTGCCTAAGATGACATTTGCGTTGTGTTATTGCATTTATCTTATGTATTTATGCATATAGATAAAATTGTGAGGTCAGCACTAACCCAGAATCCAAAAATAAATGTGTGTTCATAATGTTGATAGTGGTTTTATTTACTTATCTCCCTGCTTAGCTCACCCTCTACTCACCAGGGCAGATGGGGCTAAGGTGGTAAATGCCAGTCAGTAGAGTAGGGGGGAGAGGAGTTGGCAGCTTGCTGTGCGGCTGCAGATTTCACAATTTAAGTTATTTTGTTGCCGTAGAATTATTTAGTCTTGTTGGATTTCCCAGGGTTCATTTTTGCCATTTTGTTGTCGCACATAATAGGTTAATAAACATCACATGTTCACAGGATCTACTTCTTCAGAATCCCTTTTGCAAAGTTTCACTGCCAAACATCATCCTCCCCCCTAGAAATGGGATTTACTATATAATGCTATGATAGTACTAAAATACTATTCTCCATGGTAAAACCTCATTGAATAAATAGGTAGTTTTTACTACTCACATTACTACTTTTGTAGCCATTTAAACAATAACTTTAAAGTTGAATAAATCTATAAAAACAGTTCTAAAATCTTTAATCAAGTGTTCGCAAGTGTTGAGTAATCAAACTGATTCAATAAATAAATTTCAGAATTGCACATTTAACCCAAAAAGGTCACAGTAAAGTGACAACAACCCCGATGTCTAAAAAACGTTGCATGAGATGCTGCAGGTGCAAACATGAGGTTTGTCAGAAGGATCCTTACTCATATTAACATTCACTTAAAACTAAAACTCACAGCAATTTATTCCTGAGGTATAAAACCTGTAGTGCAACTACTTGACACCACTGTAGTGACCAGTGTCTCCACCTGATACCTGCTGTAGTATCTTGGTGTCCCTGCTACTCTTTGGTCTGACTCACTGTGTCCACAGCTGGTCTCATTCCTTACTGCTCTCTACTGAAACTTGTGCTGCATCTTTTGGAGGTAACTGATTGGGGTCGTCTGCAAAGGGAACCGCTGGAGGAGAAGGAGAAAGAGGAAAATAGACAAAAGTTTGTGTTGTCGGGTTTCTATGGTGGCACGATGTCTTCCAATCCTATATTTTAAATCTTTTCTTTAAAATGATTTAGCAGAACTCAATCAGCTTCACTTACGATTCTGAAACTGCTGGGCTGTATATCTGGTGAGGAGGATCCCGAAACCCTCAATGAGAGCCAACAAAATTCCTCCCATCATGGCAGAGCCCATCATAGCTAAGGGCCCACCTGGAGACAAACAAACAATATGGTTTCAGTCAATCAGTCTGATTCACTCAGTGACACAACTGAAGTGGTGTCGAGCTCATTGGTAAGATCAGTACGACTGTGCGGGCTTCTTCTTACTGCGGGCTGCCAGGATAGCTCCAGTCAGCGCACCACTTGTTATAGAGTTCCACGGGTCTTCTTTCCCTCTGACGCGAACCAGCCCACAGTCAATTGTGGAGAAGAGCCCTCCCCACACAGCAAAGCTTCCTGTAAAACCACCACAAACAAACCTGTGAGGAGAGGACGTATTTAAACCGCCTCATTTATACACGCTTCATTGTGTAAATGGATAAAATTGCCATTTTAACTTTTTGTGTTTCAGTTTATTGAGTGTAGATTAATGGCCAGAATGGCAAAGTTAAATCTACAGTACAAGTGCTTAACTAGTTTAGGGTTCTGAATACGTTTTAATGCTGCTGTTATAAGTCCTAAAGTAAAGTTAACATTTAATCAGCAATGCTACAAAAACAACCTCCTCACCTCCAATCTGTGGAGCTCTTACTCTCACTGCATTAGTGCTCCCTCTCAGTCGGTGTCCGACACCCTGAAACATTAGAGCACGGTTCAGTTCTGCCTTTGGAAACCTGACGTGATTCAGAGAGCAAACCATGATGTGTAGAACTCACTGCAGGGGCGTTACGAAAGCCTTTGATTGTCTGGAACACCCCTCCTCCAATTGCACCCATGGTGAAAGCGCCTCCACAGTCATCAACTATCCTCCACGGACTACAGGCAGGCATCAAGAGGAGAAAGGATGTAAATATATGCATGAAAAGTAGAAATACCTCCACTTTGTCATGTGGAACATGGATTTTCAAACCAAAGGCATAAATGTGATCATACAACATTCAATGCTGAGTAATGTCTGCACAAAAAAATCTATTCTAAACTGGAATGTGCCGTCACATTGGTTTGGATTGTTAGGTCAATATCTAATTTGTTAACTGAACAAATAAATCTGTGTTTTTGCTTCAGCCATCATATCAACAGGATACTCTCAGAACACATTTACAGGTTTGTGTACACGTGTATAACTCTCAATACATATGCACAGGTTTGTGTGCACGTGTATAACTCTCTGTATATTTCCACAAGCACAATAAACTTTCAAATATCATCACACAAACACATTTACAGATTTTAAACACAAAGAAAACTACACACGGAGCTGCAGGGTCACAGCTCCCACACACATCTGCTTATAGAATTGCTATAATAACGATCCCACAGCTTTGTAACTAAGGTGTAAGTTAGAGTGTCAGGTGTGCTTTTTATTCTGTTCACCACACTGTGACTGTCTTCACACTGAACGCTGTGGATCTAACAGTAAACACCCTGAGCCCAGCTTTATCTCCTGCACTGAGCTAACAGGCTAGCAGGCTAACTCAAAGGGACAGTGCCTCTGTAATCCAGTAAAATGTATTGAAACACGAACAGTGTCCGAGCGTCGGTGTTTCTGAACAAGCAGAGAACACCAGTGTGTTAATCTCACCAGGGCTCGCGGGCATATTCCTCCATGTTTGTTGTCGTCGTCGTCAAGAGAGCTGCGTGACGTCATCGCAGCGCGCCGCACGGAGCTGCTGTTTTGGGAAGTTGCGTCGTCCACTCGCTGGATTTGTTCCTGAACGAGGTGAAGAAAAAAGGCTTTTAAATCGTAATTCGCATTTAGAAAACTGTGGGTTTGTTGTCTGTGTGTTTTCTGCCGGACACGCGCGTGTGTTCGCGGGTTTATTTTCTCAGCTGTGTCCATCGAGTCCCGGAGCCTGGTGCGGTTTTGTTCAGATAAACCTCACATGTCTTTAAAATGAAGTCTCAGATCTCATCCTTCTGTTCAAATACAAAGTGATTCACGCCCGAGCAGCTGGAATTGGTGTAGTTTACAAGACTAAGTCATCTAAGACACGTTTGACCAGGAGACACAAAGACACAGAGGCAGCAGCAGCAGCAGGAGGACAAGAGGCTGAAAGTAGATTCTGATCCACAGCTTCAGGGGGAGTTGCTGGTTTTGTTTGAAGTTTAACATAATTTAAAGTCCAGTCTAGACAACCTGTGCTCACTGCTTTGTTCGACCAACAGCCCAAAAGTAAATTGTGTCTGAACAAAGCTATATATATATATATATATATGTATATATATATATATGACAAACTAGAATGGGACTCACAAAGCTCATACCTCCACCAAGGCCCAACAGTGTCCTTATGAAACCACATTTAAATTCTCTGGATGTGAATTTTCATTTGGATCTGCACCAAATTACAAACACTCATCGTTCCCCCACACTAGTCTGAAGCTTTTCATCAAGAACCGTGACCTAGTATCTGGGAAAATCAACAAAATGTTGAGAAACATCTCACCATGTTAAAGAAAGTGAAATTCTGATCCGCACCAAATTTAATGTGTTCTTCCCTGACTTGCCTCATCCTTGTTATTTTTTGGAAATCAGTACTTTTCGTGTAATCTTGCTAAAAAATCAATGCTGATGTAAAACATAAGATCCTGGGTGAAGTTAAAAAAAATACTATATATTTATTATAAATTAAAAAAAATACCAGCTGGAGATACAGTTATATAGTATTTGGGTGTATAATTAAAACTTGGTGCAATTAGCTGAAAGTAAAGTTGACTATATCATTTTTATTTCAATGTTGTGCTCATATAATAACTGTATATTTTTCAGTAGATAAAATCTCCCAGTGCCTGTTGCATCATGACGTAATCCTCCCACCTCTGTGTTTCAGGATGCCTCTACCTGCGGCACTGCTGGCCCGATTGGCCAAGAGAGGGATCGTCAGACAGTCCGATCAAGGTAAAGGAAATCTCTTCTCAGTCATTTCTTTCTTATGCTTCATACTTTTTTGTGTTTTACAATAACGTTTATCCTCTAATTCAAACAGAGGTAGATGAGGAGATTATCGCCGAAGATTACGATGACAACAACGTAGATTATGAAGCCACCAGAGTAGAGAATCTACCTCCAAACTGGTACAAAGTGTTTGATGCTGCTTGGTATGTAAACTTGATTACTACAGTATTACTGTCAGTCAGTACATTTACAGACCTAACCTTGTTCATCTGTTACTGCTATTATTTACTCTACTTTGCCGAAACTTCAACCTTTTATTCTACCACTGACATATCTGAGCCGACTTAATGTCATAATGTGGCTCTGATATTCTGGCCAAGTTTTTATTACTTGTACGGCCTTGAAAATATGTTCTCTCAGTAGTTTGCATTCTGGATTATCATTGATTCTTTTGTTTTTTATTTTTCCTAACGTACAGCGGTCTTCCTTATTACTGGAATGTGGAGACAGATTTGGTGGCCTGGCTGTCCCCAAATGACCCATCTGCAGTGGTATCAAAGGCTGCCAAGAAACTAAGAGGTATGACATTATAAAGCCTCTGCACTCTGCTGAGATGACGTAGGTGAGGATGACTACTCCAAGTATATTCAGCTGCAGCAGAAGCACACAGGAAGTTTATTTTTGGTTGGTTAAAGTGTTTGTTTTAAATGGTTAAGGTTAGGGGTGGGGTCGGGAGGGATTCAGACTCACCTTCACTGCGATCACATGACATCTGAATATGACCATTTGAAGGGCTGGTGCAGGTGAGGAAGGGGAGGGGTCTGAAACACACTGTGGGAGTGACTCAACTGAGATGTGATGACTCTGCAGACTTGTCCGCACTCACAAATTCCTTTTGACACCATGTAAATGTATGTGGTTGGTCGGGTCAAGATCATTATTCATTCAGAGAGGAGCAAATACAATGCAGCTGTATTAACTCTTTGCTTAGGTGAGGATTGTTAGGTCAGTTTAAATGTTCTGTAGGTTATGGAATGGTGTCACTTTTCATGGAGTCCAGCAGATTTATGTTGGCACAGCCTGATAGCCTCTGCAGGGTCCAGTAAAAGGTCATTTACTGTGAATGCTGGGCCTCCATAGGAATGTTCACCCAACTGTAAAACTGTTTATTGATCTATAACGATAAATTAAGCTGAGGTGTTTATGATCCGCGTTGATTCCCTGTCACCAGAGACATGAGAAATCATTGCAGGTCTGATCATTTTTGCAAGTAATCTCAGAATGCATTTTGTTTTCTGCCAAACTTTGGCAATAGTTTATTTTGTGGCAGCTGGCTTTTATTTATTTATTTTGTCTTTTAGCTGATGGAGGAGAAGAAAGAATTGAACGGCAATTTGAAAAGCTAGACAGAGAGCGAGAGCGGGACAGAGAGCGGGAAAGAGAACGAGAGCGCGATAGGGATGACGGGAGGGACAGAGACAGAAGAAAGCCGAGGAGGGAAGACATCGCACCGTACAACAAGAACAAACGAGGTAACGTTTACATCTGGTATATTCTACACAAGCATTTTCAAACAAATGTTTTATATGAATGGAGCTGACATAGACTTTGTTTTTTACCTTTAGGGAGAAAAGATGATGAGATGGACCCCATGGATCCAAGTGCTTATTCTGATGCTCCGAGGTATTTACAGTCATGAATAGGTCACTTCACCATTAAGATAAACTGAAGCCAGGCTAAAATGAGAGAACAAATGCATCTAATTTAAAGTTTCAATAAAGAAAGCTTAATTCAGAGGACACAAAAGATTTATGAGCAGGTGTAACAATGGCTACTTGGCTCCACAACTGTCGAAACCTCAGCCAGTCTGATTCACTAATGGAATTAACTTTGCACATATCTTGTCATATGGATTCAGCTTAAAAAACAGTGGCTCCTACATTTCCCATAGTGCAACCTACTTCATATTTAAATGTAGTAAACTTGTGTCTTTCAAACTCCACACCTCTTATTTTTACTGCAGGCTTCTGGTTATAAATAAGAACAAATCTCTGAGATCAAATCAATGACATCAGTGTTATTTTCACAAACCTGACAAAGCTCCCCCAACGACATCTTACAACCGCTCTGACCATCGGAGTCAATCTAATCACATCCATTAAACTCTTATTGGTGGAGTGAACCTCTTTAAACCCTGATCATGACGTATTAAGTCAAACTGTTTATTACAACAAACATTCTTCTCTACAGGGGATCCTGGTCCACCGGCCTGCCCAAGCGTAACGAAGCAAAGACAGGTGCAGACACCACGGCAGCAGGGCCTCTGTTCCAGCAGCGGCCATACCCGAGTCCAGGAGCCGTGCTTCGGGCTAACGCAGCCAACAAAATACCAAAGGAATGAGCTTCGCTCCCAGGACGAGGACGCAGCTCATCTTTGCTTTGCTCCCATCTTAACATTTAATGACTGACATCTTTTCAGTAAGGTTTCTTCTCAGTGTGAGATAAGTGAACATGTCAGAAACTGGAGTGTAACAGCAGTGCATTTATACTCACGTCAAGCAGTTGTAAATATTTTTTTTTTATATCACCTGAAGATTGACCCTCTTGTTATTACAACAACTCTTGGGCATCATTTGCTAATAAATCTAAAGATGACTGTGAAAATGACTCAGTGCTGCTTTTGAAATTGTTTTATTACAAAATTGCATTAAAAGTTTTGACATTTTTCTGAATATTTCAAAAATCCACATAATGGGTGAGATGAGATGAAAAAGAAACGATGGTGTTTGAATAAAAATCTGTCGATCAGTTGTCGCTTGCTCCTACATAATGACACATGGAATCATAGTCCAGAGTGAACACTTTCTCATTTCTATCGAGCTGAACTATTGCTCTGCACTTGTTCTTGTCCCGTTGGAGAATATGTCCGACCTGAAGAGACAAATGGAAACACGAGAGATTAGAAAAAATTAATCACACTCACACCATTACCACATACGCTGCAGGAAAGACGATCCAGAAGATCCAGTGCTCACCTGACCCCTGTGTTCACCCAGTACGACCATTATAGAATCATTTTCACTTTTTGGGACAATGGTTTCCAGCATGTCCTGCCTCACATCTGATGGATGAAGAAACAGAATGTTATTCACCCCAGAATTCATGTGGTAAAGGTCAGAGGAAGAGTCATGACCTGTTCAGCTGATATTACATTTCAATAGTCTTGGTCAATAACAGACTAATGACAATAAATGTAATTTATATAGCAGAATTAACAACGCGCAAAGACACTTTACATGAGATAAAAACAGCATACAACAATATTAACCCAGTAATTAGCACTGCTGCCTCAGCTTTGATCTAAGAGGCACGGGAAAACATCAACGAGCAGGAGGAAGTACCACCAACGCCTAAGCCAGCCAGATGTATTGTTAAATTTAACACATCGCAGTTCTTGTGCAATTCTAATTAGCAAATAAAAAGTCACAGAGGAGAGAAAAACTGAAACTAACACCAAGGCAGGCTGAGATGGAACTAATGACTCACCGTCTAGCAGTCTACCCTCTTCAGTTCGAACCACACAGGTGGTGGGTGTCAGGACGTCCTCAACACACATCTGGAAGAAAACAAGACTGGTGTTAAAACGGAAACACAACATTTATAATGATTGCAACTGTGACGGGTTAAGATTTTTTTGGTACCTTTGAGTTGTAGTACCTGCCCCCTTTGAAAGCTTTGTCTATAAAGCGAACTTTCAAGTCTCTCTGGAGCCAGGAGCGGGGAGCAGGTGGCCGCCTCGCTTCTTTAACCGGTGGCTTCTCTCTGGAGAGAGGGAAAAACAAATGTATAGTAAGTTTACTCCAAGAAAACATGGACAAGATATTGAAATTTTTAAATTTAGTGGAAATGTACCTGTCTCGACTTGATTCTCTGTGTTTCCTCTTCCTGTCATCTTTTCCTCGCTCTTTTTCTGAAGACTTGTGTTTTACCTCGTCATCATTACTTCGCCTCTCTTTCTCCTCTTGTCTCTCTCGCTCTTTCTCTCGCTCCTTCTCCTTCTCTTTGTGAGCTCTACTGAGACGACCTGGTCAGAGGATAAACAGTGTTACCAGTATGACATTAAGTAAAATGTACCAACTTGTTATTCTTGGTGTGGGAAGAAAATCAAGAAGTGTCACTAGAGGATAACCGTGTTTAGTCCAGTCAATCATTTCATTATAGATTAATCTGCCACTTATTTTCTCACTTAGTGTTTGTTCTATAAATAGTGAGAAATTCAGAGTTTGATATAGTGAAGATGCTTTGTTTGAACAGCAGTCCCAAACCATCACATAGCTATTGTCATTAACTAGTTCATACATAATAAAACACATTACAATAAGATAAAAAGGAACATGGGCTGACAGAATTATGAAAATTGATTCTGTCAAATGAGACAAAGTGGACGGGAAATATTTTTCCAAATGATCACAAAATCAAAGTCCATTAGAGTCAAGAGCTTTTCTATTTCATTTGTTCAAAGTTACTCACTGAGGTCTTTGCTGTATTTGTCGTATTCCTTACGCCCAACCAGTTTAATAGCGTGCTGGCTGATTGTCACAGTCTTTCCACCAATAGCCAGCTTCACCACAGCTCGAGCGTTGTCTGGATCAACGCCTTCAATCTGCAGCACATGAAAAGTTATGAAAGAAGTCAGAGAAAACCATATAAAGAAATAAGTAGTCGTGCAATATCTTTCTTCTGTTTGTGGAGATGAGTGTTGAGAGTCAACAGACATTTCAGATTTACTGTACCTTCCCGTACAGCTCTTTATGTGCCCCTGACTCCACCAGCACGCAGCCCCCGGGACCCATCACTAGTTCCTCCTCCTTCTCCCGCTCCTCGCCTGGCTTGGGGGGGCGCTTATGTTTGGTGGGCTCCAGATCCTTTATCTCTGAACGATCTGCACCAAGACCCAAACCTTTCGGCCGCAGCTGGTGTTCGATTGGCTTCACATCCCTGTAGCAGATGGGAAACATCAGCATTCAAACAACAAACAGGGGTCAAGCACATGTGTAGGACGCAAAAGAGGTTAAAGTTGGAAACAGCTTTAATTTAGTGGGTGAAATTAAGATTGTTTTCTTTGCTTAAACAATTGTTTTTTTGTCTGTAGACCAAATGATTGTTTCAGCTCAAACCTTAACTCCACATTGACTCTAATGTTGAATCAAGAGAGGTGATGACAAAGCAGGAGGTCAGTTTGTTACTTACTGTTTGAACGTGCGTCCAATGCCTTCCCCTTTTTTCCAGCCCATCCCCTTCAGCATAGCGATTCCATAAGCCTCAACAGGAATGCTCTCATAATCTGCCTCTGTTGACTGACAGAAAACAAAAACATTAACATGAGATAAGATATTACTTATGTAATATCCGAGTAATGAAACATAAAAACTGTCTGTGGCAAAGAAGCAGTTTGTGATGTTGGTCTTACTCAGCCTTTTGGCTTCAGGCTGTCAGACTCAGCTCAGGCTGATCAAAGTGACCAGGCAGCAGCCCTCATCAGAGCAGTGGCCCTGCTCATCTCTCTCGGCTGACGGCTTCCCCTGTGAGGGAAGCTGAGAGGCCACTGTCACAGGCTAGACTGCATTAAAATGAGCCGGGGGCCACAGTGAGGAAGTTTCCCCTGACTCTCATGTGCTGACAGGCACATCTACGGTGATTGAGAGCAGACATGGGATGACAGTGACGAGGCGTGAGAGAACTCTGATGAGAGGGACCAGAAAGAAGTATGATTGGTTGCCTGCATGTCTCTGGGTAGAATGTGGACGCCTGTCTGCCGCTAAGGCTTTACTGTACTGAAAAAGTCCTCTGTACCCTCACATATGCACACAACTGTGAATGCACACAGGGCGTTGTTGTTCTCAGTTGAACTTCACACACTTGAAGTTCAATATCTGACTCAAAGTAGCACATCTACCAGACATTTTATACGTTATGATCAATGGCCTGGCGTCCCTGCTCAAATAAATATCACCACTGCATATGAGCAAGGGAGAAGAAAGATTACTAAATACAACCAATGCACAAGTCCCTGGTGAAACTTTATTCACTTCATCTATCTGATCTAATGAATCAATTTGACCTTCCTTTTTTATATGTATTTAATTTTTCTATTCCAATTGAGACAATTAATCATCGGATTCAGCTTCAGGTGTCTCAACACTGCAGAACACAAGACCAACTCGACTGCAGATTGGTGAAAATATCTGTCTGTGTGTCGGTACTTACGGATTCAGGCCGCAGATCCACCTGTACGTGCTCTCCATCCTCAAAGCCCTCGGGCACTTTGTTTTGCATCAACAAGGGGATGCGGAGATTCGGGTCAGTTTGTGTCTGGGGGCCATTCTCCCACTGCTCAAGCTGCCTCCGTGAATCTACAAATTCAAAGAGGCATGAGGAGCATTGTTAAGAGAGCTACTAGGACCACCAAGCACACAACTAAAACATCGAACCATGCCTTACATGCTTTGTTGTATGAAACATTTGAGCACAATAACATATTTAATGGATCTTTAAGTCATTTCAAATCACGTTTAAAACAACCGCAGCTGAACAGGCTTAAAATGAAAATAAAAGAATATAAAAATGTATAAAAAGACAACAGAATAAATGGAATATTGCCTAAACAATACACTTACATCTGCTGGAGCATGATTTTACAGGCTGTGTTAATTTTGCCTTCAATACTCTGCCTTAAACTTAAGATATTTGTATTGACAATATCTCCATTATCACATACTTCTTTACACTGACAACTTTGTAGTAGTTCTGGACTTTCATCTCACTGCAGTGAACTTATTCTTGACTCATTTTGACCTTTTCATTATTCTTATGCTTTTGTGTTTGACTGTTTTGTGTGATACTGGATTTCTCCATTTCCATCGGGATCAATAAAGTAAATCTACAAATACAATTTGACTGTTTGCAGGCGATGCATTTTTCTCCATTCTCCCCAGTAACCAACAACATTTATTTGAGCCTAGAAGAAAACCAAACATTAGCATACCCTCGATGAGTTCTTTGACAGCCAGAGAGTCCGCAGAGTCAATCTCCCGGGCTGTCTCCTGTGTTTTGCCTCCACTCTCCTCGCTGTGTCCCGCTCGGTCCGGCCTGTGCCAGCGGTTCTTCTGGATCAGAGGGATGATGAGCTCCTTAGTCTTCTCTGTTGGTTTTGAGCTGCAAGGACACAGATGTGGGTCACTCTTAATGTAAAGGAGCAACAGGGTGGAGAAGGATCACATCAGCAACACACACTTCCTGCTTCTCACTCTCATGTGACTGAACCACAGAGGCAGATTCAACACATCATTTCTCCTGGTGTTCTTATGATGCTACTGCAAATACAGTACAAATGTACCTGATGAATGGTTAAACATAATTATATAACTAACTTTATGTAAACATTATAAACACATTTGTGTAAATGAACATAAACATATGAATGAACTTGATTTTCAACCTTGCACTAGCATCCACTTCCCTTAAAACACAATATTTGCTTACACAGGTTAAATGTCTAAGTACGTATAATACATAACAACACTAATTGTTATTAATATAATTAATTCTTACTCATATCAGCAGGGAAACGTCACGGACACGTTAAAGCTAGCATCAAAACTAGCTAAACGTCGGTTAGCATTAGCACACGGAGCCCACCTTTGCAGCTCATTTCTATCGATTCCGGTGAGATAGTCTTTGTCTTCCTTGTTGGTCAAAGCGTCCGCGGCAGGAACTTTAAATTTACTGAGTGTTTTAGTGAAACCAAACGAAACCGCGGCCGCTTTCTTCTCCCCCTGCTCCTCAGCGGCAGCCGGGTCTTCTCCGTGCGACGCCATGTTTGTTTGGAAGCGACAAGAGAGGCCGAAAGGAATTCTGGTAGTTGTAGTTTTCTCTTTCCTGCTCTCGATTCGCTCCCCTGGAGGCGAATGACTACAACTCCCGTCATGCATCAGAAATTAAAGCTACAACCTGTGGATGATGATATGTAATAAATATAATTTTATTTGAATGAACAGTGAAGGGACCAACAACAAATACAGTTTGAATACACGAATATACGGTTGTAGAAATATTAATACATTGTTTACAGATATTTATACATATTCATATCGTGGAGAATAATCTGTGAAGTAAAATGTATTTAATTTCCTGGTAAAAAATGGGGTTTGTAAGGTGATTGGCTGAATATTATCAATTGTAATAATTTGACATAAATTCGACTCAATTTTATTTTCAGGAATTTTGCACAATTTCATTTGCCTACTCTTTCAAAAGTTTTTGAAAAGGAGGGATATTATAATGATAATAATAATACTTATAAAATGTTTTGTAAAGAGTAGGCGAATTACATTGTACTAAATGCCTACAAATAAAATTGTAAAACTTTTAGTGTAATATATTTAGAAATACATGTACAATGAATCTACAAATCGATAATATTAGCTGTAATAAGTTAATCACCTTACAATACCAGGAAATAAAAACATTTTAGTTTACGGATCATTATCAATGACACGCATATCAGTTCCATTTATGTGTTTATATCTGTAGTTGTTGTTTGCCTCTTCACTGTGCATTAAAATAAAATGATATTAATTAAATATCTCTCATCCACACTCTGCTAAGGGGTCAGTGTAGCTTTAATTTCTGACTCATAACGGGAGCTGCAGTCATTCGTGACCCTGGGAGTGAATCAAAAGTGGGGAAAGGAAAACTACAACTACCAGAATTCCTGTCTCACTCTTCTATCATTATTTCTATCATTACTATTATTATCACTGATGTCATTAGTGTGTCCTCACTGATATGTACAACGACCCAGGGGGGTCAACGCTAAATCGCATTTGCAGATAACACAAGGAAAAATTAATAAATGCTCCGTTTTCTGTAAAGAAATCTTTGTAGAGCATTGCTATGTTTTCAGTGTGTATGCATGTTGTGTTTTCTGCAAATCTCCTTGTCTTGTGACCCTCAGGGCCACCGTAGACACGTGAACAGGTGTAGCTGGAGCATGTTTGCAACCAGCAGGGCCCATTTTCCCATAAAAGTTGAATCCAAACCAAACTGGAAGCATCGTAACGTGAATGTCTGCTGCTGTGACCTTGTTGGAAGTGGCTCTTCACACATCGCGTGTGTAAAAGACAGTTTGAATGTGATGATCCTGCCTCCTGGAGGAGAAGTGCTGCTGCAGGTGGAAGGGGCGGGTACTCTTAACTCTTTTTACTCCCTCCCCTCTGCTGACTCTTAACTTCTCAGGTTAAACAGCCTCATCGTGTGTGATCAGTGTTTCCCTGGGCGCTTCAGTGCATCTTACGTTTGAGAGCAACACGAACCTGTGTGACCACACTTTTGTTTTTTTTCCTTCCTCCTGCTGGACAGACCAGAGGCTTTAATCTGATCCGCGGCTCTGCGCCCTGGAAGCACCGCGGCTGCAGTTCACTGACACCTCAGCCCCGGAGCGCAGCGCTCATACCGACGGTTCTCTCCGTCTCTGTCCAGTGTTCTAATTGATCCACCACATCATGCATCTGTCGGCAATTAACCTGCTGCGTCTGCTGCACGAGGACTAGTCGCAGGAGGACCTGACGAGGAGAGAGAGAGAGAGAGAGAGAGAGAGAGAGAGAGAATGACGGTAAGACATTTCCTTTATGGTCAAAATCAAAGTGCAGGACTTCGCCTTTTTGTTCTGCACAAGTTCATCCTGATCATTCACTTCTGACATGGACCCATCCTCCTCCTCTGTTGTGTTGCATCGCCCACAGCAGTGCAGCAGCTGCTACATTCATAAGCGCTGTCAGATCTGTGTGTGTGTGTGTGTGTGTGTGTGTGTGTGTGTGTGTGTGTGTGTGTGTGTGTGTGTGTGTGTGTGTGTGTTCCCCTCTCTCTCTCTCTCTCTCTCTCTCTCTCCTCTCCTCCCTCTCTCTCCCTCTCTACAATATCACCACAGCTCTCAGAGCATCACTGAGAGTCCAAATATCCCGTCAGCCGTGCGCATCCTCCCTGACTTTCTTTGGGATACCGTGGCACCATCTATTCCATTCTTTTCCACGTTCACACAACTCGTGATTATTTAACTACAGGCTTATTTAATTGCCACCTCAGTCGGGTCAATGTATATAGACGCGTTCAAACGGATCCTCTTTGAAAGGCTGAACTGCTTGAAGAGAATGTGTGTGTGTCAGCGACAAGGCAGGTCAGTATTTTCCCAAAATATGAGAAATGTGAGATTCTGTTTTGTGTAACCCAAGTATGTGTGTGTGTGTGTGTGTGTGTGTGTGTGTGTAGGAGAGAGTGAGAGAGAGAGAGTGTGTGTGTGTGCACGTAAACCCGTCCCACGGTGTGTGAAGAATTTTGTGATGATGCCGGCAGATCTTGGGGATAAGTGTCATTTTGACAGATGAAGTTTACCTTCTTCTACAGCAGGTGTTTAAGTGTGTGTGCGTGTGTGAAAAGTTTTCTTACACCATTTTATAAATCTGTGATTTTCTTTTTTCCTTCACTTTACCAATCTCCTGCTCAGTAAATTGCCTAGAGGAGTGTAATCTGAAGCCCATGTTCGCTGCACCTGTGCCAATTTCGCTAGAAGAAACCCACTGACTTGCAGAATGTACTCAGCCAGGTGTGTGTGTGTGTGCATGCATGTGTGCAGGACTGTACCCCTCGGCTCTGTGTGTGTGTGTGTGTGTGTGTTGTTTGTTTATGGGTGTGTCCTGCTTGATACAGGGAGCTTGTTTGGAAGTGATGGATGTGTGACCCTGACATAACGCTGTGTGTTTTGCTGGGTTTGCGGTGCAGTCAAGGTTATGCTCTTACTATGAATCATTCATTCGCTGGACGAGAAGAAGAGACGTGTGGCGTTGGACTGTCCCCACATGTTCTCGTGCTGCTCTGCTCCTCACACTTGTGAGCCATTGGGCGTTATTCTGTGTTCGCCCTCCTTTGATTCCAGCTCTCAGTCCAAGTTTGAACAGCCAGTAAGTGGAAATGCATGTCGACCAACTAACATGACTCCGCTGTCACTGCTAACAAGACAGGGGGATGAAGTGAGGTGCATTTCTCCTCTGTCGTTGTAACTCACGTCATGTGGGAGTTGCTGATTGTCTAATTATGTACCTCCTGTGTCCTTCAGCATCATGCATATTCATGCTGCTGTTTTAAGGTGTGGTGAAAACAAAGTATGCATGTGTGTGTGCGTGGGCCCTGTGATGCGTGTTTACCCTTGACAGGGCAGGGCTACGCAGGAACACTCTCCCATCTGTGCTCCAAACCTTTGCTCCCAGCCACTGCATTTGGATTCTGCAGTTGTAGCCTGCTCTATTCTTAGTTCTCAACAGTTCATGTGGAGTCTGATATGAAAATTCAACAACATGAAGGCCACGTTGTGCACATGCTGGCTACCCTCCTGCCCTGTCTGGTTTGTACTCTGAGATTTAATTTGGATCGGATAAGCCGCTGTTAAGTGGTTAGACTCGGGCCTAGGTAGCAAATCAATAGCCAATCAATGACAATGTGTGTGGAGATACGATTTACACAGTGCCATATTTGAAATGTCAAGAAGGCAATGAATCCATGTATCCTTGAGTCAGATCTGAGGTGGACAACTGGGATCAATATCAGGTGGTGAGACAGGCAGCAGGAGCAGCGGAGGGTCACCTTCACCCATCCCTACTGAATCAGCAGTATCTCTCTTACACACACACACGCACACCCGCACACAGACTTGAAGGCCTGCTTAGGTTACTAAACGTTGACCTCACAAAAATGTTCATTATAGTGAATTGAACCTCCCCTCCCCTTTCTTATGAATAATTCATTTTGTTATTATGATTTCCACCGTTCTTTCATTAGGTTACTGCAGCCTCCTCTGTGCTGATTCCATTTTTCTTTCCTTCAATTTCCTCCAGGTCTGGCACTGGCACTATTTTCTGTATCATCCACTTTTAATTTCCCTAATTTCTCCCCGGCTTTTCTCATTTCTCTGCCCTATACCCGCCATCATTGTTGAGGTGCTGATCTGCTCTGTTTAATTAAACTGCGCTCTCTTCCTGATGAGAGCTCATCTCTGATCGCAGCGAGGGGTGTAATGCATCCTGGCAGATTGAGTCACAGGACCTGTTGTCACAGTGGCAGTCCTCACAGGAGCAGAGTGTACACAACACAACACTCATGTGGCCCCCTGCCTTGACCTTTGAGTGGGGGACGTCACTGAGCCAGTGTTATCCTCTCAGGTGAGTGTGTGTGTCTCTCCGATGCCCCACACCGATGTAATCTTACATTAAGTCCATCCGCATGCAGTCATAACCTGAGCCGCTTTAATAAAATCACACAATGGAATAGATTTTGGATTTACTGATGGCGTGCGGAGAATCCAAATGTGCTTTTCATTCCATATATTCTTAGCAGCTTTTTCATGTATTGATTTTTTTTCATTGAGTTTCTAAGAGAGGGAAATGTTTCCGTGCATGTTTATGCTTCTTTTTTTATTTTTTCAAAACCGCAAGCATTTAATCTTGTTTTTTTTTTTTTAAATCTGCCGCTGTTGTCTGTTTTGTGATGATCACTCCCGTGCCCTAGATTTGAAAGTGAGTGAGCATCAGGAAGCTTTGGTTCAACCCAGTGTCGCTCTCACGGTTTGGTGTAACAGTGCAGAGGGAGAGGTCAGGGCACAGATATCAGATAAGAAGGTGAAGTCGGAGCCTGAGAGAAAGCTCCTGTGCCTTTTGTGTCTGTCTGCCACTTCACCAGAGTATTAATTCAGTTGAAGTTAAGGTCACTGGTTATTTAAGATGCCTTACTTGGCTAACCTCCCACTACAGGTTTGAGTGAAGAGATGAGCTCAGTGTTGGAGGTGATGAGTTCAGCCGAAGGTTTCATCACCTTTGCAACTTAGACCAAGTCCAAGTTTCATTATTTAATTTTAGTTTTTAACATCATTGGTGGAAATGTGTTGGTTCCTTTTGCCCTCAGTTATAGTCAATTTAACATATTTGGCTTTTGGACTGTTGACTGGACAAAAACAGACAAATGAAGACATCATATTTTAAAGACGCCATTTTGTTATGGGCTTAATATATGAGCAGGTTATTAATAGATCCATCATATTCAGTGATAATGAAAATAATCATTAGTTGCAGCCCAGTACTTTCCTATTAAATGATGTGTGTTGATAAAGGTTTCATCGGTGATTATGCAATGATGAATTTAACATATTAAAAAAAAAAGTACAATTTCTATGTATTGTTTAGTGCTGTTTCTAAGATTTACATTTTTTTTAATCAGCATTTAATAACTGTAGCTTAGTGAAAGATACAAATATTGAAAATGCCTCACGTTCTATGATCTGAAACATCTAGAAACTGATTGTTGGGCCATCGGGCCACCACCTCAAAATATTCCATTTGGAGCTGAAATGATTAGTTAATGAATTGATTCATCAATCATGTCAGTCATGACGTGAAATGTGACAGTTGATTTCATATATTTGATTTTTGGATGCTTACTTAATGTTGTCTCCTTTGTCCTTGAGAATATTTAATTTGAATAATGAATAAATCTTTTTGACATTTGTTAACCACTGTTAACAAAATTATTCAGCTTATTAATGGAAAATGATTATTATTTGTCGACCTAGTTCGGTTCACTGTGAAGTCAGGAGCACGTCCTCACATTTGAGGAAAGTGAAACAGAAAGTATTTGGAATAGTTTCAGCTCTTTACTTCAGACCAGTCACTGTGTGCTGATGATTCCTTCTTGAAGTTGACCAAATGTGCTGCTACCGTGCATCCAGCAGTAGGATGAAACTGTGCATGCATAAAATACCAAATAAAGTTTGCATAAACTCATGGAGCATTCTGGCTGAGCTTATTGAACGGGCTAATTTCATTATTGTAGGCCTCATTTAGAGCGGAAACACAAGCACAGAGTGAACATGGCTCCACCAATTCAAACCAACAGAAGCTTTTATGCACGCAGAAAAACTCTGCTGCTCAGTGGCACGATCATTTACTAGCACACAATCAGAGCTGAGAGAATCAGAGTTAGATTAGATCTCACAGCAAAACTGATTGTGTTAAAAGTTTCTGGTCTTTGCAGAAGTTTGACTAACTCTGCCGCAGTCAAAGCCGATTATGTCAGGGAGTGATCCTCCAACTGAGAGAAGGCTTTGATGGGGATGAGGGCCGGCATCTCGATAGACATCAGGAACATGGGGAGAATCACGCGAGCTGACACTCACTGCTTTCGCTCATGTTATTGATACGGGAGGAATGTTGGACAAGGAGTTAAAGGTGCCAACAACTTTTAAAGTCACACCGAACACTTGTTCTGTCGATGAAATTCGTATTAATTGCTCAAATGGACATATGTGCAGTCTTCAACCCACTGCGTACATCTGTCAAGACAAGTTGTTCTTCTCTCAGCCTTTCCAGAAACACTTTCCGCAGAGCAATTCAATTATTCACTCGTCTTAATTGATGTGTTTTGCTTACACCATTTTTCCTGAAGGTCTTTCAAGACGCTCTCCTGCCCAATGTCAAGTGCTATTCCCTCTTGTCCTTGATTCGTTGCTTCAAGTTGACTTTGAATTATTGAGCTTGATGGCAAAGCTCATCTGTGTAACTTTAATAAATGAGTACCCTGGAGATCCAACCTGAAATAACGGCTTAGCTAATTTGTCCGGTAATGAAGATTTTTCGCTCATGACTATAAGCTGCCAGGAGTAAAATGGCCTCGGATTTTTTTCAGCCAATCACTGTGAAGAATTTTAATTGCATAGGACCTGAAATTTTAGCTTTAGCACTACTACACCACAAGGTATTATTACAGAGCAGAAATTGGATGTGAAGTTTGTTGAGATACGGCTTAAATTACAGTTTAATTGTCTGTAGTAGAAAAAGGCATATTTCAAACAGAAAACACATTGTGGCACAGCTGTTCATACTATAAACTGAGACGTAATAGCCCTGAGCATATGCTTTATGCTTTCTGATTAAACAGATGTAGTGCGCACATGAAGAATTGACCTCTAAGAATAGACTCCAAGTCAAGCGGATGTGTGCTTTACCAGTGACAGATTGCTGTGGTTTGAAATTACCCTGTGAGACCAGGGCTGCAAGCCTTAAAGATCCTGAGCAGGTTGCTGTTGGAGAGGAAGTCAGTGAAACAGGATCTGTATCGGTCAGCTCTTTCCTGACCCGAAGGTCAGAAATCTCAATAGAGCATTCTTTTTATAGGGTCAGATATCCTTGAATCCGTATATTGTGTCCTCCTCTCTGTGTGATACTGTAGTTCATCTGGGGTCGTATATATTGTATCTCGTATTAGTGTCAGTCCACAACTTTGCTCTACTTGGAAATCGCTCAATAACTATCAAATGGATTGTCATGAAATTTCCTAATCCATCAATCCATTGTAGTCAATGGAATACCCTAAAACAGCTAGTCAATTGATTGCAGTGCCATTTGGTTGAAATATTCCTGTTCCCACCTTTTCATATAGCACCTAAGAATTTCCCATCAGCCTCAGCTTCTCATTTTTATTAATAATTAGCAAATGTTGGCATGCAAACACACTAAACTAGGAGGGCACTTGGAGAGCACACACCTCAGGCGAGGCTGATTGGCTTCAGCATATTGCATATTGAGATCAGATAAATATTTCATGCACACAGTTCTGCAAACTCGAACTTTTATTATCACATTATCCAGAGCCACACCAAATTTCATGTGTCCGTAGCTATTAGCATGCTACACATGCTACACATGCCTGATTTTTTTTCAAAAAGATCTCTGGATTATTTCTGGAGAAATCCCCTAAAATGTCACACAACAATAAAGAAAGTGGAGAAATAAAATCCTGGATCTGCACCTAAATTGAATTTGTTCTTTCCTGACCCATTCCGCCTCCCTCCAAGTTTCATGGTAATCTGTCCAGTAGTTTAGAGTAATCTTGCTTAAAAATAAACAAACATACAAACCAACAAATAATCGCAGCTGAGTGAAAACATAACCTCCTTGTCAGAGACAATGGACGTAAGAGTTGGACCTGCTATACATCTCTTGTGTATGTTAGCATTGGATTAGAGAGCTGCAGATAGCCACAAGCATGGCTGTAGACTCTGTCCTGTTAAAACTGAAGCATTGAGGGTTTGTGAAAAGGTCACCATTTCACCTTCTCATCAATTTACAGACACGTCTTGTCATTGTGAAGTAAAGATCAGCAGTAAAGAAGCTTAATTGGTCTCAAAGCAAATTTACTTTCTTTAGATGTAATGGAACATTTTATTTAAAAAAAAATAGGCGTGATGAGATAATGTCACACACCTTCCTCCCCAGCCGTAGTGGCAACGCAGCGCTCTGTTTTTAATGGACACAGTAAGATGAGTGTGCAGGACCAGTTTGGAACATGAACACCAGCAGCAGAGTGAGAGCAAAGCAGCGTCAGGGCAAAGTGTGTGTCTGCAGCGGGACGAGCCCAGGCTTCAGCGGACTTGACAGGCCGTGGCTCATTAAACCCCAGTCAGACGCAAGAGGTCAAGACAACTGCAACACACTCCATGCGCATAATGTAAACACACAATCTGACTGTGTGGGCCCAACATGATAGGATAATACCCTCAAACCCATTGGTTGTTTTATTTTTAGCATTCTAATCATTCCTGCTGAGAAATCTTAGATAAAGCAGGAAGAGACTAACAGCTTATAGAATTAAGATCTAGGATTGATGCGCATGGGAATATGTTTTGTATGATTGGATGGAGAAAGTTTATGCTTTTGTTTTTATTCCCTTCTCACGACACACTTAATGCATGTTGCATCACAATGTGTTCTGTGTGGATGGGCGGACGGCTGGCTGGCTTTGGGGAAGCAGGTCGACAATGTGGCTGCAGAAGGTTTCACAGTGGGGTAGAGGGAGAGTGACTGGGGGCACTATTTGGCGAGGATGAAATGATATGCATCATTTCGTGTTAAAACATTATCCTCAAATGGAACAGCAGTCACAGCCATAGGCTTTCAACCAACCTGCAACCTGACGGAAGTGCAAGTTGTGTGTTTTTGGATTCTCAATGTTGTGGCAACTAACTCGACTCATGAACCAGCTCTGACTCATGTCACCTGAGCTAAGTCCTATTCCTATGCCAACCGCAGGCTGTGGGAATGTATCTCTCTCCCTTTACTCTGAGCTTTGCAGAAAAACGCGCTCGATCCATCTGTGTGTCATTATTCTCACCATATTTCAGTTTTCATCTTTTAATCTGTCCACTCCCTGCTTTCCTCTTCCTCATTTGTCAATGTCTGCTCTAAAAAACCTCCAGAGACCCCCTCTTTTAGTTGGGCATGTAGGAGAGAGGATAGAAGAGGAAGAGCATTGTCAGATCTGCCAGTCGGATGACCAGTCAATTGGAGAGGATTACTTCTATCCTGTCCTTCTTACACTCAGTCTCATTTGGTTTGCTGGGTCCAACGATCCAGGGTGTCCCTGCTCGTGCTGGGCCTGTACAGAGGAACCTCTCCCCACCCTTCAGAGGGTTGACGCAGCCACGCTGTCACTTAAGAGGATTGCGACCTGGTGAAGTGATTTGTAATTGCTAATCTCCTGATCACAATGGAGTGTTTTCGTGCCAGAACATTGTTTTGACCAAGTTAGCATTGGTGTTCATTTAAAGGCTGCAAATTTGTGATATGAGCTAATGAGAAGACTAAACCACTGTTATGTCTGCCTGCTAAAAATAAAAGCCTTATCCAGATATCAGTTAGCATAGAGACTGTAGACAAGAGAAATAGGCCTGGACAGGGCTAGTAGTTTCCCCCTGTTTACAGTCATAATGCCAAGCTAAGCTAATTATCTCCTGGCTCCAGCTTCATATTGAGCAAACAGACAACGACATATCAATCTACCCTCATGTGTTAGGCTCCACAAGGAAACAGTGTTTTTCCTAAAACTTATGACAAACTTTAATCATTTCTTATTTTAAGTTTAAAGACAAAGTACTTGTCTGGACAGGGCCAGGTTAGCTGTTCCACCCTTCAGCGACGCTAAGCTAAGCCAACTGACTGCAGCTTCATATAGCGCCAGTGTTGCCAGATGTGCAATAATTATCGTATTTGCACGATTCCCTCTGTACGATTAATAATGATGTACGATAATTTGATTGTTTTGTAACACTTAGTATTATCAGTTGTAATCTGGACAGTAAAATATGTCGTTTCTCTTCTCACGTGACGTCTTTCCAGCAAATCACGCTGGCGATGATGAACGTGAACTTCACAGCCTCTCGCGAGCTAAACACAAGTTCTTCCTGTCTCTAACTAAAGTTAGTCTGTCTCTAACAGTACTAAATCGCTTCAGAATCTCGACACAGCTTCAGAAAGTTGGTGTGGGGCGTCCCCCTATTCTGGTCACGTACAGTAATTCTCCTCAAATTCTTCTAACAATTTCTCCAGTAATGAGCTTTTTCCATTATATTGTTTGCACTTTGTGTTTGTCACTGTGATTCTGTTTACTCTGTGTCGTGCGTCTCTGTTGTGTCCTGTGTGTGAAGGTGATAGCACTGCTGTGATACTGTCACAGGAGCATTGACCGCTCTCTCTCCAGACCTCACAGCTGTCACATCACGGACGTCTCAAGCGTGTCAGCCACATCCTCATCCCACACACACACAGCTGCTCACCAGGAAGCACGCTGCAGTAAAACTTTATTTTCAGAACAGCTTTGCCTCAAGGCTTCTCACCTTTTTGTTTACAGACAATCCTACTGTGTCTAAGCAGACAATAGGGGGATCTGTCCAGAGGAGAACAATATGCTGACAAACAGGGCTATTATTCATTGTCTAGAAAAATCTATGAAAATCTATATTCCTGTGAAAGTATCATGCATCTCTGTAGATACAGAAATGATTCTGGGGTTGAACTGGAGCCACAGGTTCTTTGTCTGCCTGTCAAAATGTGTGTGCTTTCATTGACCCGTACCTTTATCGAACACAAACTAGATTTTCCCATGTGACCGAAGATGTGGTGGCATGTGCACTATCTCCTCCTTGTGTGTTTACATGAAAACATAACGTCAGCCTGCAGCAAGTGAAATGTACATGAGGGAAAGTCTCAGTCATGAACTGTGCTGTAGTATGTTTGCATAAAACAAAGGCGCAGTTGAGCTATTCCTGACATTCAAACTTCCGTGGTCTCAGAGAAAATATCCCAAGCTACGAAGCTGGAATTATTCATGACTTGTATGCATTCTGTTGTGAAACCCTGCACCTCCCCAGACCTCAGACGTCGCCAGCTGGCAAAGGTTAGATAACAAAAACGACCTTCTCACTGAAGTCACAGGCTCTTTCCCTTGCTGCCCTTTTTTTTTTTTTACTTGCTCATTTTCTGCTCACATTCCAATCTCGTTTCTCTTTCTCTGCAGCTCATTTGCCATGTCTAAGACAGCAGTGAAGAAGCTGCACTGGCGTTCCAGAGTGCAGGACAGCTTTGTCCCCTTGCTGGGCTCGTCGGGGGAGCTCGGGGTCGCCATTGGTGGAGGAGCGGACTATGGAGAGTTTCCTTTCGTCACATCAGCTCCGGGGGGCGGACTCACAGTGGGTGATATCATCCTAGAAATTGGGGGAACACCTGTATTAGGGATGACATTAGGAGATGTCCGTGGTGTTCTCAACTCCTGCCCCCATCCTGTCCGCATCAAAACTGTGTCACCAGGTAGGATTCAGCACAATAACTCACCTCTATGAATCAGCAGCTCATTGTTTCAGTAGATGTAAAAAATAATCATCACACTGACAAGACAAGGTCTTAAACGTAGGTGTGCTTGTCTTCTGCTAATGGCACTCATGTATAACACATCATCCACGATAATGTCTTTAATCTTTGATTCCCTCCGTAACCCTGCAGACAGTTTAACGTGTTGCTGTTTATGTTGCACACCACTGCACTCGCTTCATCAAGCTACACCCAAACAATCTGTTACGCTGGCGTTCAAGCTGTCACCCATGATAATCTAGCTCAGTAACCCTTCTCAGACTCTCACAAGCCAAATATGCAGCCTGTAGCATCCCAATGCTGATTTGCACCCGTCAATTAGTCTGAGTGCGTCAAAGCGATCGGTCAATATGCGGGTGGGGGTCAAAATTGCTGATGACACATGACAAGAGTGTGGCGATATAGTTGTCTGTCACCAGTAAGGGGCCTTGATGTTTAGAACAGGGTGCTGGGGGAAATGGATTGGCTCTGAGCGAGGCAATATGTCACCGGAGTGTCACCAGACTGCGGCTCCCGATGGCCTTGCTTGCTAGATTGATAGCTGATTTGGCCATAGGGGTGTAAATGGGGACCTTTGCTCCTAGTTCCTCTTCCACTGGTAGATCCATTATCATTTCTGAAGTCTGCCTGGCCCTCCCTGCACAGGTTGACTGCATACAGGGTAGACAGTGATGGATGAGGTGATCTGCAGAGCTGCTGTACCACACCTCCTCTTACATCTACTAATACTACACCTCACTGTGCTCCTGCACTCGAATACTGGACACTAGGCTGCAGGTTCCTCAGAGACATGAAGCAGTTTAAAGGGTTTAGCAGTAATGCTGGTGCTCTGTGGACAAAACCACAGAGTAGTGAGATCCAATCCATCACACAATTGTGTTTTCCTTCAGTGGTTTCTGACTGAATTCCACGAGTACATCTTCTGTGTGATCGCTGTTAACCTTGACATTGCTTGGTACCTTGTGTGTGATATGTTTGCACAATGGATTTGGTATAAAACAGTTTCAGACAGCGGATGTTCAGATCAGAATTTTGCTCTTCAATAGACTGGAAAATAGCAGCTGTTTCATAACAAGATGAACAAAAGCCCATTACGTCTCCCAAATGGCAGCTGGCGAGATTCATTTCCCTTTACAAGCAGCAGCCATATGTGGCCAGTCATACGTAAGTCCAGTTGACTGCCTGCACTAATAAAGTTATGGCGCTGTGACGTTGTTTTTTTAAATAGCACACGGCACAGGTTCTTGTGGCCAGAACCACTGTAACAGACGGGTGGGGGAAGTGGGGCGGCAGGGGCGCAGACTCCTGGGCGGCAGCCTGTGGGGGAAGCACAGACAGAGTGGTCGTCTGTCAGACTGACAAGCTGGAGATGCATCTAGCTCATCCATAACAGCAAGTGGCCTGTCATCAGACGCCGTAAAGCACTTGAAATGATATTAAGAGATCAGAGAGAGAAAACTGAGCCGTGGTGATCAGCTCTGCCTCCCCCCGGTGACCACCTCCCACCTGTTTTTGTCTGGAGCAATCAACTTCAGCAGGTCGTTATATATGCATGAGATGGCAGCGTAAACACATTTAAACCCGGGATCTACAGGGCGTTACGTGATATGGGAAGATCAGTTGGTGTGAACGTGAAAAGTCTAAGGTTGTAAAGCGACCGTGTTAAATCGAGCTTGGCAGGAGTACATTTTATTACTTTGAATAAATTCCAGTCTCTGTTTGACAGTGAACATCATCAGACTGTTTATGCTTCCAGAGCTGATGTCTTTGTGTGTGTGTGTGTGTGTGTGTGTGTGTGTGTGTGTGTGT